GACGAATTGAAAAAGTCAGTCATGAACGATATGATCTCTTTTCCTTTTCAGCTCTGTTCAATTCCGTACAGTATGATGTTCTTTCTGCGTATTCTATTTTCCAACTCGTCTTGTTTCGCTGGTACGATAGCTTCCTTCCTCAGCAAGGTAAGCTCGCCGTCTTTTCTGTTGCATTCCCTTGTCTTCTGTGAAACTCACTCCGTTTTCCGTTGTGGTCAGTCTCTCTTCCAGTATGTCAATTCTCCTCTTAATTTCTCTGACTCAAGCCCACATGCGCACTTGAGACTCCATAATGTCTCTTTGTGCACTTCTAGATTTTTTTCTTGAATCTTACGCAGCTCCATTCGCATTCACATTTCGCTACCGTATTTGACTGAGCCAAGCAAGCATCCAGCAATAGCTTCTTTTGGGTTGTCTTTGCATTGTCACTTTTCCCCAATTTAGTTGTCTCAACCCGGTGAAGAAACCAACCCGTCGGAAGCGTTCAGGGGAGTGACTCAGTAAACAGCATGAATAAAAGGAGGAAGCCCTTAGCCTCACTTGTCTGTGGTCTTAAGGGGTGTTCACACGGCACACATTTGCATCAGTGCTGCACCAATGTATTTTGTTGCGATATATCTTACACCGATGTAAATTTTGTGGAGTGTTCACACGTATGAAGCTGCTTAATAAAGAGAAGCATGTTCACCCCAGTGCAGCCCCACTTGCATTCACATGGCAGTTTCTGCGGCCGTGCAATACGTTCGTAATAATACAGAAATAAAACATGTGCATGCGTATAGTATACTTCCTTTTCCCCTCCTTGTTTGCGACATATCGAAAAACCATGGTTTATACTCCTCCAGACAAATCAACGCTGTGGTCTATCAGACAATGTAAAAAAGATAGTGACCCTCCATGACTGGAATTGCCCACCACTGATGTATAATCAAATTACGAGTGTGACCCTGCAAGGACTTCATTTACGGACGGGGTGTGCAAACAAAGTAGTATGTCATCTTGACGAGACCAGCTTCTTTCTCTTCTCAGCCTTGAAGATAAGACACCAGCCTCAGGACGGCGCGCCCATGACACATCCACAGCTGCTATCACAAACCAACCGTCCAACCGTCCTGGAATACATTGTGTGTTTCCCCACCCCTTTAAAAGTTTCTGTATTCAGACACTCCCGAGGACAATAAAAGTGAGGAGACCAGTGAAGTGTTTCCAGAACTGTTCGGAGATTGTAATGGATTACACTCATTCACTCTCCTTGTGCACAAGTTAAAAGACAACTCTGCCTGACTCCTTGTCTCTCTTGTGTTTTCAAGTTTGTCTTCGGGGTCTGGTTGCCTGCGAGACCTGACACTGTCTTTGGTCAGTTGGTGGGGTACACCCTGAACCGATTACCAGCAGGACACATAAAGACAAACAAACATTTGCACTCACAATCACACAGAGGGACAATTTAGAGTGTTTGATTAACCTAATGTGTGTTTTTGGAATGTGGGAGGAAACAGGAGGACCTGGAGAAAACCCACGCAGGCACGCGGAGAACATGTAAACTGCACAAAGGAAGGCCAGGGCCTGGAATCGAAAATCGCACCTCTCCACTGAGGCGAACATGCTCACCAGTCAAACACCACGCCGGTTGATAATAATAATAATAAGAAGAAGAAGAAGAAGAATTTCTACAAAAACAATACGGACCTTGCAGCAGTTACTACTCTGGCTTTAATTAAAATAAAAGTGAGAATGCTCTTGAACTCTTCAACCTTGATATTTTTTTCAAATCAATGTCTCGTCTTGGTCTTGTCACAGTTCTGGCTTGTCTGGCTTTTGGTCTTGACTGGGTTTCAACTTCCAAAAGTCTTGGTCTGGGGGCAAGAATTCCTGTTGTAGTGTGATCTTAAGGGCAACTATTGTATTATTCCATACCGCCATCCGCTCTGTCACCGGTGTTCCCTTGAACAGCCTCCATTCTCAAATCTATTGCATGGCTCTCTCATCGCTTTTAGTGGCAAATTCACTGGTCCTTGTTTATCTGTAAAATACTCAACCCAATCTTTGCTCTCTGATTACTTTGCATACCACCACATGTACGAACAGTTCACATTAGGGAAACTTATTTGTCTCCCCTTGCTTTTCACTTGTTACCTCAGCTCCTTGCTTCTCCATCCTCACCACTCACACCTGCATCATTACTCCTCAATCCAGGCTCCTTGTTCAAAACCCTTGGCCCTCTCTCTTTTCATTCATTCCAAATGACAACAGAAGTTTTGTAAGAGCACTCACACTTTGATAAATGTAAAAGTATTGAAAACAACCCTTTGATATAATTCACAATTTTTGTGGTTTCCAATCGTCTGGAGAGGCCGGAAAAGCTGCAGGAGTGAGAACATTCGAGGGCAGAGTGAGGGGTGAATAGACTGACTCTAAGCTATACATTTGGTTCGCACTGTTGTTGTCTTGACATGGTTGCGATTGACTGGAATCTTTGTTAAGTGTGTTTCTTGCTCGCCACTTGACCTGATTACTTCTGCAATGCTACACTGGTTTCAGCAGACTGGCATTTGTTGCTAGGTTTGCTCATTGGATTGCAATGTGGGAGTACAATTGTGATGGCACCCCTGATGTAGTCAACAGCATGTCAAGATGCCAAAATATTCTGGTAAAACAGACTGCAAGGCTTTCCATGCCACTTTGAACTTTTGGTATGCGCGACTGGCTGGTCTGAGAGGAATAAGGCCCGGCAGTTGGCCACGTGCTTTGTGGAGGAAGCTTTGTCCTCCTTGTTACTGCATGGCCCAGATGAAAGAGACAGGAAAAACAGCTTTAGTTAGTCCCCTATAGCGGCGTTTTGAACAATTCAATGAGGCCAATATTCTTCACTTACAGCTGTCTAATAGGCACAAACAGGCTGATGAGCCAATCCGTGTCTTGGCTCATCATATTGAAAATGTACCAAGGTGTGTATTTGCCCATATGCCAACTAATGTGCAGAGTGAGTAGACCAGGGACCAGTTAATCCGGGCCATTACCCCAGGAGAACTGTGCTGTGCAATCTGCAACACCAGTGAACTAAAGCCTAGAAAAACCAGCATGGGCGGATGAGTTGACTGAGTTTATCCGCGCTAGCGCCCCACAGTCACCATGCAGCAGTGCCCTTTCTCGCTGGGGCCCTCCAGTGTTTTGAGTGTGTGGCCAGTCTGGCCACATCAGCATCACTGCGGGTCCTAACCGGCCTTGAAGGAAACCTGATTCCAGAGAGTCTGAAACCAAGACAAGACCAAGACATTTGGAAGTAGTGTACAGGACAAACTCAAGATCTTCAAAATGCGGTCTTGAATGTTGCAACATGACACAATAATAATAACAACAATGATAATAATTTTGAAATACATGTTCAATATTTTCTGGCAGCACCCCTGATAATCTCATCCATTGAGTTGGAAATCCCCGGAAGAGAAACGGCTTTGTCTTTTTTGAAAAGCCACAATGTACTTCATCAAAATGTATTTCTTTTATTTTTCTGATCACATTTACCAGGCCGCCCGGTAGTCCAGTGGTTAGCATGTCGACCTCCCAGTGCAGAGGTAACAGTTTCAATTCCAATCCAGGATGTCCCCAGCCTACAGCCCAAAGACGGCTGGGATAGGCTCCGGCACCCCCCGCGACCCTTGTGAGGATAAAGCGGATCAGAAAATGGATGGATGGACATTTACCAGGCTGATTTCACTGAGGCCAGTTACGCCGGCCTTGCTCACAAGAAAAAGTCAACGTGGCAAACAGAAAGGGGTGTTCAAAAATCTGCTGATGGCAGATGCCTGTTGCATTCTCTTCTTACTGACTCTGGTAAAAGATAAATGACAGCAGAGGTGTCAAACTCATTGCTGTCGTGGGCCACCTCGCAGTCATGGTTTCCGTCGGAAGGTATATGAACAGAAGTAAATTAATAATCACATGATGTTATATATCGCTGGTGTTGGGCCGAAAACTTTCTCCAGTCACTTTTCAAGAGACCCCACAAATGGCATGTTTGTTCAACCATCAACATTGCATCTTCAAAGACAGCAACAATTTTCAGCACTTTAATTGGTAAATAATTTGCAGAAATAACACCCACCCGTGTAGAACGTCGAATATATAGATTTTTTTAAACCTATTTACCAAAGTGTGACTCATGAGGTGTCAATGCCAAAAATATACACAAAAAATTAATGAGAAACTTAAATAAGATTTTTAAATAAGAGGCCACCAGTATGTTCAAACATAAAAACATTTATTTTACAATGGGAATTGGTGACATAAAAATTCTTGCAACATCTCAAAATGTTTAAAAATGAAGTGGCACAGATAGTGATGTGGCAGTCCACATCTGGCCTCCGGACTTTTAGTTTGACACCGGTCAATTACATTCTGTAAGTATGAGGGACAAATGTCAACTCTGCTAATTGATTAATTAAACCATGCAAGTATGAAGAACAAATGTCGCGCGGCAAGACCAGCCTAAAAGACACCAGCATTTGAACCTGCTTAAGAACAAAAGGAAATATCTATTCAAGCCTCACCTAGTGACGGTGTGACCTTTCCGATGGGCGTACAGCGGAAGTTGCCTCTTTCATTTGCAGCTGCAAGGCAACATAGGCAACTGACTACTTCAGAGGAGACAAACTGGTTTGTTCTCTTTGCAAAGCCACATTACCTTTCATCAATGACACCACACAGCTCCTTGTTGCTTGGCTGATTTAAAACAAATACAATAAACATGTTTCCAGCTGTTTGAAGACATGTTACGACTCCACGTACCTGCGCATAAGATTCCAGCGGTGGTGACCTATTGTGTCCTCTACTCATTTGAAAATGATTCAATTAACTGATGCCTGACAGCTTGGCATCATGTCAAAGAAATACCACTTGGCAATACCCACTGAATAGAAACCACTTACTGTAATTGTGTGAAAACAAAAGAGAATAAATTAAATAATTCACCTTAACAAGGGCACCACCTTAATGGTGGCTGGACAAGTGATTTAAGCTCTCTGGCAACGACTGTGAGGCGACAGAAGAGAGACAGAACCAGGACTGTCAACCACACAAGGCCTGAGAGGGTTTCCAAGAGCAAACTTGAGTGTGTGTGGTGAGTACTATCGCCATCCTGAAGTGTTTTCAGGGAACACAACGTTCACGTTGAACATGTTTGGGGTTGCGCTTTGTACACTCAAGGGATAAATATTCATTTTGACTCAGGTTTCATTGTATCACACACTTCCAAACCAAACATATGACAAAAATGTTGTAATTCCGGACAAAAGGTGCATACCTGCAAAATATGTGCTATCAACACATTTCATAATACATTTCTCAGTGAAGTCGTAAAATATCCATCCTTCAAGAACGTTTGAACAATCAAAAATTAACCATGTAAGATGATTTATTTTTTATTCCAGCACAAAGGGATATATAAAATAAACATGTATAAAAATTACCATTCAAGGATGGCATGAAACTGGTGAAAAGCAAACCAGTATTCAGTCTAAGAATCCCTGTCATGCATTTTTCCACAAATATCTCAAAATATTGTTGTGATTTATTTATTAATTTAAATTAATCAGGGCGGCCCAATGGTCAACTGGTTTGCGCGTCGGCCCCCCAGCAGTGCAGAGGTGCAAGGTTCAATTAGAGTTCAGACCTTGGGGGGGAAAAAAACTTAAAGTCTGTCCGTACTTGCGGATGGATGACATGCACAAGAGTCGACCAAAGTTCTCACGCTGTTGAGACTATGAATGGTGGTTCATAACTAAACAAAAAACAAAACTTACATTGCCGCTGACTTTTTTACAGCAAAAATAGAATTTAAAAAGTCACATACCAAAGGAATGTGACAAGCAATATTACTAGAAACATTGTTATGTGACAATTGCTTCATGTCTCACACACACACACACACACACACACACACACACACACACACACACACACACACACACACTTTCTTTCGGAGTTTGGTCACTGTTTTGAAGTTAAGACAAGTTGTTTTCGAATGGAGACACTGTTCAGATTTCGAGTCTGTGAAGCAAAAATATTAGCACTGAGGTCTGTTCTTTTTGACGTTTGTTTCATAAAAAGCTTTTTTTCTCCAAAGTTTGTGAAAAGTGGATGAATTTTGTAAAATTTTACTGTCTTCTCCTGCTGATTACTAAAGAACAAAAAACGCTAGAAAGGTAGAATCAACCTTTTATTGTCCACTGGTTAACCCAAAACATTCTTGAAAAACTGGTGATATACTGCCAATAAGCATTTTCCACAACAATTGTGGGATGGCCCCACGAAAAAAGGATTTGAAATTTGAAACAAATATCTCCAAATAAGTGACGAGACGCGGAAATGCTGGATCTCACTGTGTTCTACAGTGCAAACCTTTGTTCACAAATACATTGTGAAGACAAAGGCTTTTGCACGGTGAGGCTCTGTGTGACCGTGGAATTTGAAGTGGATGTTTGGTGCTGGCACCATGTTCGTCAATGCTAGAATTTTTTTTTTCTTGAAACGTAGTGGTGTAAGGAAATATGAGAATTCCGTCCAATGGCGACATTAAGATTAGCAGGGAGTTATGACTCTTCTTCCCTGTCGCAGTCCAGGTGTCTCGTGGCATGGCATGGGACCTGGGCCATATAATACTGACAGTGCCCAAGTAGCCAGTTCTCCCTTCATGATCACCCGATGGACCCTCTCTCGATGTACGTTTAATGTCCCTTTTCACTGTCTTTTTAGGACATCATCAGCCACAATGAGCATTCTCAAGGTACTCACTGTTGCCCTTGTGCTATTTGGTAAGTCATCAAACTCTCAACGACCAAGTAACAGAGTCAGTGAAAAGTCATCATGAAACAAAGATGTCAACTCTTTTTTTCACAGGAACCAGCAGTCTTTCTGATAAAATCAAGAGACAACTGCCATCAAATGCAGGTTTTACTCCATTTGGAACAGGACCACCTGGGCCACCAGGGCCACCTGGTCCACCAGGACCAACCGGACCACATGGCCCACCAGGACCAGATGGTCCACCAGGACCACCTGGACCAGGTGGTCCACCAGGGCTAGATGGCCACCCAGGACCACCTGGACCAGATGGTCCACCAGGGCCAAATGGGCCACCTGGACCACCTGGACTAGATGGGCCCGCAGGACCACCTGGACCCGATGGGCCACCAGGACCACCTGGACCAGGTGGTCCACCAGGACCTCATGGACCACCTGGACCACCAGGACCATCTGGACCACCTGGACCACCAGGTCCTCCTGGGCCACCAATAAATTATCCATATTGGCCTCCCTTTAACCATGGGCAACGACCACCTTGGCCACCACGACCTTGGCCACCTGGTCCATATCCATCTTGGCCACCTGGTCCACCACCATATTAGCCACATGGGCCACTGCCACCACCACCTGATCCAAATTTTCTTTCGTATCAGAATTCATAAATATCAGCCATCAGTGCAGCCACCTGTGTTCCTTGATTAAAAAAAAAAAAAAACACCAATCTGGACACTAAATTCTCAACCTACCCCATGACTTGTACCCCCTGCACCACCACCAGAACAACCCTTGCCATCACCTAATACTCCAGATAAAAGCAACCCACCTGGACAAGCACACTGCCAACCTGAACCATCTTTTACTCCAGATGAAAATAAATCAATCTGGAACATGACCTTTTCAAACCTGAACCACCGTCTTGGTGGAGACCAAGACATGCCTCACCAACCGCAGTTACTCCGGATGATCATGACCCACCTGGACCAACACCTTGCTCACCCAGACAACCTGTTACTGGTCAGAAACACACCTACCTGGACCAGTAGTGGGACCGACATCCGGTCCACACCCTGGGCTCGCTGGACATGTCACCCCGGACCAAAGAGAGTTGTTTTTATACCCAAAGAAAAGACAAGCATTCAGTCCTAATGGTAACAATCATTGTGTGGCCGTTAATGAGTAATTGCAAGATTCCAACCCTTGCCACCTGCATTCAATTTAAATAATAAAGATATTTTTTCTTCTGCACAATTTAGTTGCTTAAATGTGACCTCAACTCAGACATTCGGCCCTTTGTGTTCACAGGCGCGATCATGCTTGCTGGGTTTGGCATCAAATAGCAACCGCCTGCTACTTTATCAACATTCATCAACCAAACATACATCTTCCACTTACCAAACTCAACTCAACTTTATTTCGAGAGCACTTTAAAACAACCATTCACAAAGTGCAAGGCAGTTCTTTATCGACTGGACACACCTGTCTACACTGTAACACCGCCACCACCAAAAGCTCGTCCACCTGTTCATATCCTGTCCAGGCATCAGGATGAGTTTTATAAATTAATGAAAATGTCTTGCTTTAATTCTTTTACACGGGACCAAATAACATGTTTTATTTGAGTGATGCTTTGTGACAAGATATAAAAATGATAAATAATTCAATAAATATGAGTGGCAGACTGCACCATGACCGGCATGTGGGACGTAGAGACTGGTGGGGGAAGACCCGGAAGGGAAAGTAGTGGTACTTGGGAAAAGTGTGTGTGGAGCAGGTGCGCTCAGTCACAAGCGTGAGTGCCATCGAGAAGTGTTTGTTGCTAAAATGGGATGGAATGAAGCCCCAGTTAAATAAGGAAAGACATCCCTTTAATTCGTCTGTGTCTCACCACTCAGGTTGATGTCACTGATTCGAGAGGTGCGTTACGATTACGATTCGGGGGTGAAGACAGTGACGAAAACGGTTACAGTGTGCAAAGCCTGTATGTATATATTTCAGTGTCTCATAAAAGGTGAGCTCATGTGGACACACAAAAAAAATTCTCGATGAGGACAGGATCTGCAAAGTTGACTGAGTTCCTTAATTGTTCCTTTAGGAACACAGGTTGGAGAAGAGAACAATGATGAGGAAGAAATATAAAGATTGAAGTGACTTTTTTTCTTTGTTAAATTAATGGCCTTGTGAGTCAGATGCAACCACAATGCGCCTCGCCATCCAATTATTAAACAGAGAGAGAGAGAGAGAGAGAGAGAGAGAGAGAGAGAGAGAGAGAGAAATATCGTGTTAAATATCGCAGAGATATCAATATTACAATTTGCAACACTCATATCCCATTTAGCATGTTTTCCCAATATCATGCAGCCCTACCTTTAAATATATAAATGTTACAAGGTATACCATCTTTGAGTATCACTTCTGCATCTCGAGGCTGGAATGAATGTCCTCTTTTTAGAGGCCAAAATATGGTCACCTTATTATCTGGGAGATTCATGATTAAGTTGCGCTCTCATCACCCAAAATGATAAGGGGTGACTCTGGATCATTGAGCTCATGTTTGTGTCATTGGTCAGCCAGCGTTTGCAGCGCTGTGTTTGCATTGGCTTGTGGTGGGATGTAACATCCGCGAATATAAAAGAGGAGAACTCACGTACTTAATAGAATGGCTTACCATTTAGAAAAAGCTATTCCGAGTCTGCGCTGCAGTGTGTGTTGATCTTCGTGACAGTGAACCATTCCTCGTTGATATAGAAGCATATTCCACCACCTTTTGATTTTGGAAGACGGGTAGGTGCAGCGCGGGGTCCGGGTGGCGATCCCTGTTTGGCAGAGAATGTAGATTAGTCAAATGGATCGATGGGAGCGGGGTTCGAAATCCATGCTGCCGTAGCAACGGATATAAAATTGTTTGGGTCAATCTCTGTAATTAGGTCACTTGTGTTTCACTCATAGGTGTCACAAGTTCATAGCTCAACAACTTTCTTCCCTTGAAACTCCACATTCCATTGCTTAAATGCCTGCAGAAGCACTTGTTTGACACTAAAATCCAAAAAAAATGAACTATTATTGATCTCAGTGGCACGGTGAGCTCTTTCATTCCAAATGTCCAACTCTTCAGGCAACACAATTGCCGTATTGAAAAAGTCAGTAATGAACGATATGATCTTTTGTTAATTTCAGCTCTGTTCAATTGCACAGTCTGATGTTCTTTCTGCATATTCTATTTTCCAACTCGTCTTGCTTCGCTGGTACAATAGCTTCCTTTCTCAGCAAGGTAAGTTCACCGTCTTTCATGTTGCATTCCCTTGACTTCTGCGAAACTCACTCTGTTTTCTGTTGTGGTCAGTCTCTCCTCCAGTATGTCGATTCTCCTCTTAATTTCTCTGACGCAAGCCCCCGTGCGCACTTGAGACTCCATAATGTCTCTTTGTGCACTTCTAGATTGTTTTCGAAACTTACACAGCTCCGTTCGCATTAGCATCTCGCTCCCGTCATTTGACTGAGGCAAGCAAACATCCAGCATAAGCTGCCTTTGGGTTGTCTTTGCATTATCGCTTTTCGCCAATTTAGTTGTCTCAACCCAGTGAAGAAACCAACCCGTCGGGGGCATTTAGGTCACTCAGTAAAGAGTAAAGAGTAAATAGAAGCATGTCATCTCCATAATCACCAACTCCATGGATTATTAAATGGGCATAAAACAATTGCATCAGAGTAACTATTGACCCCAAAACAACAACAGAACTAATGAATCTGATCGCTCAGTTGAAAGGATATTTCAAGACAAGGCAGATTGGGTTGTTTGCCTAGGATTACAACCTCTATTAAGAGTAGTTGCACCTCCATCTGAAATGACACCGGAATGCATGATTAGCTTAACCTCAAATACTACAGTGAACAAAAATTGCACTCAATGGGAAGATATTCCACCAAAAATTACTAAGAAGGCTAAGCCAAAACGTATTTTGATAATGTAATAGCATGTAGCAATTGTATATTGTTTACATTTAATTGTGGCGCAGACGTTGGACAAGTAAACAATAGCTATTGACGGGTCACACAGACCATATCACCTTTCCCCCAAACCGCCAGAGCAGTTTGTGGTGGTGGTGTGGGGTAGAGGTAAGATCGTGCCGCCCGAGTCCGAGCCCGACCCGACCCGAAAAAAAATCAGGCTTCTCTCTCGCTGACTTTTTTTTTTTAAATAAATATTGTGGCGGACACTAGGACCATGCTTCTCACGCGGCCAGCAGGCATACAGTAGGGGGCGTGTTTATGTGAATGTCTACCAAAAATACTCACAAATAAAATATGAAATGTCGGGTTTGCTTTGGGCTCGGGCCTGCAAATCAAGCTAAGTGATCGGGCTCGGGCCGGGTCGGGCTTTAATACCCTCGGGCCCGGTCGGGTCGGGCTCGATTTTTTAGGACAGATCTTATCTCTAGTGTGGGGATAAACAACTTCGACAGGGTGATTCGGCCGCCCAGTCACTGTACTGATGTGACAGCGGGACGATTAGGGAAAGATCGGATAAGGAGATGGGACAGGTCGTCTTTGTCGTTGTGGGGCTGTCTGATGAGATGGTTTGGGTGGGAGATTATATTTAGCGAGCACTTTAAAACAGCCATTGTTGCATACAAAGTACTCTACGTGCAAATTAGTCACACAATACCAAAGGCAGTGAAAACAAACAATACAAATATAGCACACAGCATAAAAGGCAAAGACAATGCAGAGTCTCATGCTGAGTTGAAAGCCAGACAATAAAATTGTGTTTTCAGACATGTGGAACTGGCGATGCCTTCTAAGCTCCTCGGTACCGCTGGTGTGTGTGTGTGTGTGTGTGTGTGTGTGTGTGTGTGTGTGTGTGTGTGTGTGTGTGTGTTTGTGTGTGTGTGTGTGTGTGTGTGTGTGTGTGTGTGTGAGTGCGTGTGCATGTGTGAGTGTGTGTGCATATATTTAACCGGAAAGCAAAATATCACTGTGGATACACACACACACACACACACACATACAC